GGGGGACATGGGCCGCGGGGCTCCAGTGGCCGGGAGGGGCGCCGGGAGGGGCAGGGGGCCGCATCGCCCCGGTTACCAGGGCTGGGATGCGCTTAGGCCTGTCCCCAGCGCCTAGCCGGGACCGCCTCGCCCCGCTGTCCCCAGCCACCGCGGGGCCGCCTCCGCCCGGGGCGGCTGGAGCGCTCCACAGCTCCGGGTGTAAAGGCGAGGCCTGTTCAACGTGTAGGTCTAGAGCCGGGCATGGCGAGGTGGCTCCTGCACCCTCTCGAGCGTCCCAAACCTGGTTTGGTTTTAAATAAATATGGGTAGTCTCCAACCCCGGCACGATCCGAGCCGCCTGCTGCTGGTTGCTGTGCTGCAGGAGTCACACAGGGGCGAATGCTGAGGTGAGGTTTCTGGGAGGGCAGAGGAATACTCGAATGATCACAAGAAACCCCTGGAATGATGACAGTAGCTGAGGGTGGAGGACAGTCTTATTTTTCTCCTGTTTCACCCGCTTCCTGGAATTCAGGTTTTGGCAGCATTTCATGTGCCATTAAATCCTTTGTTCTGCCTCTTTCCCAGATTCACAAAGGATCAGAGACTGAAAGCGAGTAGGCAGCAAACAATAAGCAACGGTTCTGTGCAGAGTTAGAGGGGACAGGGGAGCTCTAGGTCCTCAAGCTCACTCAAAAAGAGACTTCTAAAGGTCAGTAGCTATAAACACAAGTAAATCTCTATAATTAATAATAACAGGCCAGTTTTATATGTTCATCTCTGATGCATATCAATCTGCAATTCAGTCTGATAGTGTTCTTTTTAGATGAAGTAGTTCTCCTGTGGTTATAACTGCTTTTTGAGTGGATTAGAAAAATCAAGTTTTTCCATAAAAGTTTAAGCTTAACAGAAATTGGATCAAAACTGGAACAAGCCCATAGTCCAAACTCCAGCTACTTGGTTGGGGATGTGGACGTTAGAAATAATATCTGCTTTGTGTCACAGATTTAGCTGTATTCGCCTGCTACAACGATGGACAGTGAAGTGCAAAGGGATGGCAGAATCCTGGATTTGATCGATGACGCGTGGAGGGAGGATAAATTGCCGTATGAAGATGTGGCTATCCCTCTGGTAGGTGAATTGCTACTTATCAACCTGAGTTAAGACTGGTGTGTTTATCACAGCCCCTTCCAAGAAATGGCACAGAGAGTATTGCTTGCAGTGCAGCTAATTTGTACAAAAGGCTCCCAGGATGGATCTGACTCACTCTTTTCTTGTCCTATATGCCAGTCATTCCTGTGTGTGTATGAGGACGTGTACGTTTCTCTCCCCCTTCGCCTGACCAGTTGCCAGACCTCCTCAGAACTGGAATGCCCTTCCCGTTGCACAATTCTGGGTTTAGCATCAGAGGAGTAGAATCATCCTTTCTCTCTACTTCCCCTTCACGTTACTGGTGTGTGAAGTGGTTTCCAGTTCGTTTGTAGAACAGAGAGGATCAGTCTCATGCTGACAGTTGCAGTCTTGGTTACATGTTATCTCCACTTTCTGAAATTCCATTAAAAGAAGCTGAAAATTTTTCAAACATCTTCCTAATCAGTCTTTTCCAGATACAGGGTTGCTGTTGCCAGTTCCAGGATAGCAGCGAAGGAACTGGCATCTGCAGTAGGACTCTTTCTTGTAGCACTGCATCCAACGCATGGCAGCTATCTTTTCATCCAATGTACAAGGCCAGAGAGGTGCAGCTGGGGAAAAGCTATCTCTGACCCCACAAAGCCCAGAGCTGAAGCTTCAGATCTCCCACACTGACGCCTTTCCTTAGCTATTTTGAAACTACCAGGGAAGTGAGAGGTATCTGAGGATTTTCCCTTTCCTTGTTCCCTCTGGTACACAAGGTTTACCCTGGCTAGCACTTGACAAAGCAGTCATGCTAAGATTGCGGGGACTGACAGGCTGCTAGTTTCTTTTAGCATAGAGACATTTCCAAATTGCTAGTGACATTGCTAGGCTCAAGCTTTAGCCCTTACACCACTGTCTTTTCAGAGAGGGCAAGGAGCAGCTACACACCTCCAAAATCCATATACATGGCACACAAGTTTTCCTGCCAAGATTTGGGCTTGAGGGGATGATCTTGCAGAACTATGATTCTCGGATATGAGGGCCCAAAACCCCCTTTGCTTGGGACAACCTGTACTAGGCAGGCTGAATCTTATGAACTAGTTCCTTGCTGACAGTTGCCTTTACCCTGTGTCCCAACATTACTGTTTCTTTCCTTATGGCCATCTCTTGAGCTACTTACAGTCACATACTGATGGCAGCCTCAGAGCAGGAAGCCTCATCAACTAACAATAGAAAGAAAGGCCTGGCTGTGGATATAAAGATCGCCAGGGCTGGATTGGCTCTGATCACATAGAAAAAACACCACAAATTCACAGGAGACTTACTCAGCGGCATTGTAAAGGAGCAAACAAAATGGCTGTAAAGTATTTGAGGCTGTCCCAAGCATCTGATCGCTGCTCACTCAAGAGGTTCCTATGAACTCAAATGAGCTCTAATCATATGCTGTTTTCAAAACTGAAAAATTTTATTTAGCTCATACTGGGATTTCCAGAGATCTAGAACTCAGAATTCTTGCCCAAATGGTATCTGGCAGATAACATGCACTCTGTGTGACTGCACCAATACGGCAACACAGAGAACAAATAATACCAGGAAGGAAAATGAAATCTCAGTTAAACTGTATTTCCTCCTTACTGTGTCATGAGCAGCTCTGTGTTGCACCTCTTAGGGGTTTCTGACTTCTACTGTTGATAAAGCACAGCCACACCTGAGTTCAGCATGTAGAAAGAGGAAGGATTTCTCACCTGCCATAGGAAAGTAACATGTTACAGAACCAGTTGTCTTAATAACAGCTGTAATAAATGCAGTATCTGTATTCCTGGCAACAGCAGAAGAAACACATTGCAAACAAGCAATGGAATAATTGCATCGTACTATTATTTACTTATTTTGCATTTGCTATATATTCTCCTTCTTCGCTGTGTGTGCAGTCTGAGCGTATAGCAAGGCCCCAGGGTCCTGGAAAAGCAATTTACCTTTCAGATTAAGCACCATATTCATGTGGAAAGTATATTGTTCATAACTGAGCTTAGTAATATTTTTAAGTGGATCAGTATGTATGATATGTATTGTTCAGATGCACCCTCTGGTCTCGTTTGTGGGGTTTTGTATTTATCCATATGAAGTCTTAGTAACCTGCTCCTTTCAGGAAGCATATTGTGTGGAACGCATTGTACCTCTGTTTTGTTCTCAGAATGAGCTTCCTGAACCAGAGCAAGACAATGGTGGCACAACTGAGTCTGTGAAAGAGCAAGAAATGAAGTGGACAGATTTGGCTCTCCAGTATCTCCATGAAAACGTTCCACCCACGGGAAACTAGTGAATCAGTGAGATTTCAGGCAGTGGATGCAAGAATGCAATATAAAAAATATTTTTCAGCTGACCATCACTGTCACAAGTGTCTCTAAGGAGGAAACAACGTTTCTGAAAAAGTCTCAGATTCAAACGATGGTTCTGCTCACAGTCACCAAACACAGTTTAAAATGCTTCTATAATGAGTGTGAAATAACAATGCCTATCTGACAGCTCAGAGCTAATATCAGAATGTTTCTCTTACGTAAAATTATTTCATATCTTCTGTTAAGTTGTTCTTAAGTTGGTGCCAATTCTGATCTTAAATGTTTTCTACATGTGATAAAACAAGTAGTTTTTACTGTCTCAGGTTGTTACTGATTTCAAAGCTCACAATGGGATCATTTCTGACTCTGAAGGCTTATGTCCCAAGACGTATTCCTCTGTATTCTGTGGTTAGAGTTCAGCATACAAAAACCAAATAGCCATAAGTCAGTTGTTACCATCTTTAACTAGTGTGTGGCTGAGGAAGGTTGTGTGGGACAGGTGTGAAAGATTGGTCAACAGGATTCAAGAGCTGGAGGTAATCTGTAAACACAGGTGGTTATTTGAACTCCTCATCTCAGGATTTGATGGTGGCGGTGGACAGCATTTCCAGTACTGACATCCTGGGTATGTTTGCCAATATGCATACTGTAAACAGTCTAATTTATGCTAAAATAGTGGTTACTCAAAATCATTGTCTTTAGAGGGAACACTGAGAGTTACAAGGAAGAGCCTGACAGTCCCAGTGTACCACCTATTGAACTGATGGCCACTTGGATGAGCTGTCTCAGGTGGGAAATGGAAATCTGAGGAAAGTGATGGGGAAAAGAAACAAGTGGGTCTTGGCTTCAGGCAATAAATTATTACCTCTTTTTGTGCTGAGAAGAAAGGCAAGGCCCTCTTGATTTCTTTATCTCATTTTATCTCTGATTCTCAAATGCCTTTTGCAATAGGTAAAAGCCTTCCGTTCATCTTGCTTGTTTCCCTGTTGGACTGATTCCTTCACACCATTGGCAGAACTTGCTAGGGAGAAAATATTTTGACAGAGTTTAGGACTACTGGTAGAGGTGAGAAAGGAACTGGAAGGAAAAGAATGTTTTGAATTATTTTCTTTTGCCAGTGCATCAGAAAAAGCACTTCCCTGGAGCTTGCAGATTCCAGACTACACACAAGTTTTTTGGTGTCTTTTTCTCAATGTTTATCCTCTTCAAAATAACAAAAACCAACTTTTGCCTGTGTGATTACCAAATGGAATCACAGTACAGCACATGTCCTGCGAGACTGCGATTGCTGAGCTGCATGAGATGGAGAGCTCACGGTAGTTGTGAAAAAATCGTGTGTTGCTGGGTGCACGCCTCTGTCTGAGGTGTAATGCATGCCTGCAGCAGACAAGCAGCATGCACTTGTCTGAACAAGAAGGAGCTGCAGACAGCCAGCAGGCAGAGTTAAGGATTAACCCAAGAATTAGCAAAGTCAAATTAATACGTACAGCATGGACCAAAGAAACAGCTATGCAACTGGGAACTGTAATAGTTCAGCTCCTCATTGGATCATCACCAGGGGGGAAAAAGAGCCTGTGCTTAATGAGGTGTTTCTGATCCTCCCCCTGTTCCCTTTCCCTGGCCTATGTTAGAAGAATTTGCTAAGAAAACATTAGGCAAAGCTACCACACAGCTTCTATCCAGCAGCCACCCCTGCTCTCTCTCCCTGCCCCCCCCCACCCTTATACAAACTCTCCACGACCTTCATCTTTCCAATTTTTCCACTAGATATTCCAGCTCTGATTTCAGACTTCCTTTCGTGCCCCGACAGTTGTCTTTGCATCTGCCATCTTCTTCCTCCTCTCCAGCAGGGGAAAAAAAGCCCTTCTTACTTGAATTAGAGCTGAATTCATGAGGTTCCAGCAGGTCTGCAAAAAAATGTGGTGGGGATGCCAGATGTACAACTGTCATCCAAGACAGCAGTTGCTTGGCAGCCCAATGGAGACCCAGATTGACTGGTACCTTCCCTTTGTCATGACATAGTGCTGTGCATCCACCTCCTGCCTGAGGTGACAGGGTCTTCTAGGTTAGCAGGGATGCTGGGCCACAGTGCTCAGAAAAGCCGGAGGGACATGGGAGAGTAGGGATTGTCATGAATGCTACCAGCATAGGCCCCTGTGAAACCAAGTGCTGGCCCTGCCCAGATGCTTATCATACTTGCAGTAACACCTACGATCTTCACTGCCTTTTGACATTCTTTGGAAAAGACAAATAGACACACAATAATTTCCTTAGTTTCAACACGTTTAGTCAACTTGCTGCTTACAGCATGATACCAAACCATTTGTGTCTTTGATTAGTCATTCCCCAGGGCAAACTATATTTAAAATAAGGAAACCCAGTAGAATAGAAGGTGCCCCACCTTTTTAAGAAGAAGCTTTAGTTGTATAACTAAAGACTAGTCTTCATTTCTTGGCTGGTAACTTCCTCCTTTCACCACACCTACTGTTATTGGCAGAAAAAAAAAGAGAGCAAACTTGTCAGAGACAGCAGACACATGCCAAAGAAGTGGTAAAATCTTTTACCTGTAGAAGTTCCATGTGGAAGTCCATATGCTGAGGCTGTGTGTCGTCTTCATCTACCTTTTGTATGGGGTGAAACCAGGTAAGAAATCAACCGTTTGTTTTGAATGTTTTTGTCAAATATAACACACTTTCTGTGCTTTGCAGAAACATGAATATATCTACCCTCTGCATTATAAGTTACTGTGTAGGGTTTTTCGCTAGCATTATTTATCTTGCCAAAGCAAATTATACTGGTTACATGCATGTAGTCAGCTCTCAGAGTTCCAAATGTAAAACCAGAAGTCATTTTTATTATCTTCTCCTCACTTCGCAAACACTTCTCTTCTGTAAGTACTATCCATCGACACTGAAAATATCATTTGAAATCTTCAGAGAAGAATGATTTCTTTTCAGCAGTGTCTTATGTGACAGACAAAGGATGAATTACCATTTATGAACAATAAGCTTCATTTGATATCCTTACAGCCCTATCAAGAATCAAACTGTGTAAGAAAAAACAAATGTACTACCTTGTGTTAGCATACACATGGGAGCAAGTCAAGTTATAGCTCTCTGCTTTGTAGGGAAAAAAAAAAGGAATTAAAAAAAAAAAAAAAAAAACAACAACCAAACAAAAAAAACAACCAAACAGTATTCTTATAAATACTAACTTATTTCATCAGGTTCTCTGGGGTAATTGTGGGGTCACATTTTGCTTAGTTTGTTAAATATGCTGTAGGAAATGTAGTCAGAAGAAGTGGAAAAACAGAATTGTCTGAAAAGGCACTGAGGAAACCCAGTGAGATACGGAAGACCAGTTTAAGAGGCAGAGGGCACACTCTGTGGAAAAGCAATGGAAATCTTCACTAATGCTACTGAGATTTGCTGTGTGGTAGTGAAGTGTGCTTAAAGCTGAAGATTCATTACTGATGCATAAGACCAGTCTGTTGTAACACACCGTAAAAAACCCAGGCAAGGTGACAGTGTTTTGAGTGTCAGTGAAACTGCAGACAGATACAGAAGCAGCAACATGCTTATCTGAGGTCCATGCAAGGTGTTGACTGGGTGAGCAGCCCCCTTCAGGGGCTCTGTGTGGCAATACAGTCTCCCAAGGACCACAGCTAGGACAACTACAAATCTGAACAAGTGACCACTGACCCACTGAAGTGAAAATCTGTTGGAACTTCACTTTGCAAGAGGACAGACTGGTGGAGTTAAAAAATTCAGCTACTATTCTATTCATGCAGACAGCCTCAGTGTCACAGCCCCAAAATGCCACTATTGCAAACCCTGCCTGTCCGTAGGATGAACATCAGGACAGAAGGAAGAAAAAGCCTCCAAACGCCATGTCCAAGAAAGGAACGAGAGAGACCAGGGGAAGGCAGGAACATGGGTTTAACAGCTTGGTATGCCCCCTGCTACAGGTGTCGAGATGTCAGAGCACCTTGCCCAGGAAACTAGTGTTTGCCGTCCTATTTTACATATCAGAAAGCTGAGCAGAGGGAGAAAAGTGAATTGCCTGAGCCTGTTCAGCAAGCTAATACCCAAGACAGTGCTAGGAGTGCATTAATGGGACACTGGGTTAATTGCCACATTTATTCACCTTTCCTGGAGGGAAGTGGTCTGTTGGACACGGGTTAAGCACAGTGCCAGGGTGTAGGTTTCCACCTCACTTATTTGCTTGCAGACTTAATCTCAATAAGCCTCTTGCCCCATCACAGAAATCGTGTTGGAGTTTCAAAGACACTTCCAGCCATTTCGGTAGGATTCACTGTGCTTATCAGAATGAAGAGCAAAGCCAGGATAACTGGCTCTCCTCATGTGTCAGCTTTTGTAACACATGGTGGATGAGTCTGGGATACATACCAGCCTGCCAGAAGAGAAGCTGGCAGGTTTCCCCCCACTATTAGCACTGATCTAATTTTGTTATTCAAAATAGAACAAATCTAACAGACTTGGTGCAGATATAACAAGGCTTTTTAAACAGTTCCTGTGTTAGGTATTAGCAAATGCTGATCAGCTCTTTAAAAGCTCTTCTTTACCAGAACGTTTGGGCTGTTCTAGTGACAAACACAGTGCTCCTCTGGGCAAGTCTCAGCATGATGCAGGAGATATAGAAACAAATCAAGCAATCAATGCAATCTTCCACCATATAGAAGTAATTTTTGTCTGGCATTTCTGCCTGTATTACTACAGTTTCAGTGGCAGTAAAGATGATTAACAATACTATATAATACCATACAATAACTAAACCAATTTCTAGTTATTAGCAAAAAATAAATATAACTGTATTTTTTTTTTTATGTTGCAGTAGCACCTAGAGGGCAGTGGTTAAGTATCACTGTGTATGCTGGTGTATATCAGCAAAAAATGGTAAATTTCCTTTGAGATTTCCACATGAGCAGTGTCATAGGACAACTCTTGCTGCTGTTTCTCTGGAGCATCTTGGCATGGTAACTGTGGTAAGAGCAAGCTGGTCAGGAGAGGGCCACCCAGGTCACCTTTACTCTTGCAAGCAGGGCCCAGAGTCACACTGCCCCTGGGAGCCCTGATTGAAGCATTACAGAGGCAGAACACCCTCAGTTCAAAGGCCACTGATTTCAAACAATGTTCATTGGGCCTGGCTGAGAGTTCATTTTCCACTGCTCCTGTTCCACTATTCATATTTTACCATAGGCTTTATACAGGATGGACTCCGTGGATTTCAAATGTTAAAATTTATTTCTGAATTTATGGTAGCAATTTAAAATATCCAGTTGGACTTAACTGCAACATCCTTTTAGCCTATTAACTTTTATTTCTGGAGCTCCTGGGGCTTCTACAAAGTAATTAGCAGAACTATGGCAACTGAGCAGATTATTTTATGTGCTGGGCACATAGCATTTATATCACTCTCATGCTGCTGATTTCCATAGGAGAAAAGGGAAAGTTGCTCATAGAAACTGAGAGTTTCATCATTTAGAAATTAAAATGCACAGAGTATTGGAGATTTGCTAGAGCACAATTAGATTACAGCTGCAGGTTTTCTAAACCCTTCTACCTACTGCACAGCCCTTTGAGCAACAAAGATCAGGAAGATTTCTCTAGCAACTGCAGCCTGAGCAATTATTGCAGCCCAGGGCATATGTGTGAGAGACACTCTCTCCCACAATAGGCTTCAATAAGATTAAGCGGATTTGGGGAAAAGGATTGTGAGCCAGGAAGAGGCTACAAAACCTGGGAGGGCCTTCATAAGCAGTGTCCGTCTGGAGACAGTTATTCCATTCCCTGCCAGTGCCCTGCTGGAGATTGTATTGGACTCTGAAGGCTCAGCTGGTGTTCTGTTGGAAAAGCAATGAACAAAGACAGGCTTTCAAATGGCAAAGACCATCCAATAAAGCAAAAGTTACATAGAATTCAGTTACTCTTCAGCTGTGTATAAAGCAATATCAGTAACATATCTCATGCAGTCAAATGGTCTCCCATTTCACAGTCTGAAATAGCATGCTGCATCTGCAAATACAAATGAAGCATTGAGCTGCTCCTCACAACAGCAAAATCCTCTGCAGCTTGTCAGCTCCAGACTGGAGTTACAAACCATAAGGATGTCTCTTTACCCTAGAGCCTGTCCAGAGCTTCTGGGTGTGCTCTCAAACCAATACAGCAGCCATCCTAGTTGTCAGTCTTTGATACCTTCCTCACACTAGTGGGATTTTTGGAGAGAGTCCATGCCGTCTCCCAGCTGCTGGTGGAAGCAGGACTGTGCTGCTTCAGGGAATGCTGCTCTGAGAAGGTACACTTGCTGTCTTTGTTCCAATGTGGCAAGAAATCCTAAGATTCAGGATAACTCCAGCCATGAACATGATGGAGAGGAAAGGAGCAGCCCTAGCTCAGACAGCTCACAGCGTGTGTTCCTGTGCCTGTGTAGGGCTGGCAGGTAGAAAAGGTCAAAGCAAACGCATCGATGCTAACCTCAGGATTGCCACACTGTGCTCTTTTCAGATCCTAGGGAGACATGCCCTGCGTTCACAGCTCTCAGCATTGGCAATGCTTTGATAGGGACAGACCTGAAAGTGAAGCTGCTGCTCTACACCAAACTGAATCCAAACTGTGCTGAAGAGCTCGATTCAACAGCCTCCAAGTATCTAGATGTGACCAGAAAAACTACATTCATCATCCATGGATACCGACTCACAGGCTCTACCCCAGTCTGGATCCCTGACTTGGTACATCTTCTGCTTTCTGTAGAAGACATGAATGTCATCCTTGTGGACTGGAACCAGGGAGCAACAACTCTCATCTACAGTAATGCTTCCAGAAACTGCAAGAAAGTTGCTGAGATTCTGAAGAAATTTATTGATGAAATGTTGGTAAGTTGAACGTTCACACTATGATATAGACATTAACACACAGCATGTAAAGGGCACAAAGGAAGTGTTTAAACAGCAGGAGTCTGGGAAAAAAAACTCCTAAAAAGGAATACATTAATTTTTGGAAGTGCAGCTATACTGCAGTGCCAAATTCTACCCTTGGACTTGGTATGATGGTATTTTGTTGCAATATTCAGTTTACACTCAAAGGCTCTACATTTCTGAATACAAAACTCTACAGATATGTTTTCCCATACATAGAAACTCTATTTCTACTTTCTGGATGTCCAAAAGTCAGCTTATGGAGATCAGCTACAGTTCGCAGCTCCTCTAAGCTGCTGCACAGGCACAGTCAATGATGACACCGGACCATTAGGATCATTGTGTCTGCTAATGCCTTGCAGGAACCCCATGTGGGGCAACTGGAGTTGTACTCATGGGGCCCATGAATACTCACTCCTGTCCACATCTGTAGTTACTGCCCCAGGAAAGTACAACCATTGCCTGAACTGTTCTCATTGCAGCTCTCTCAGATATGGACCTCAAACCTAAGTGCTGGTTGTACTGTGGGACTATCAAAGGGGGAATATTTACAAAGAGTGGAACACACCAAGGGAAAATGTGGGAAAAGTAGGGAGATGCATTCACATTCCTCCTCCTGATATTTTTTATGCCTTTGATGTGCCTAAAATCTGTGACAAGTCCTCTTAACTCTCAGGTTGATGGAGCATCGCTTGACTCCTTGCACATGATAGGAATGAGCCTGGGAGCGCACATCTCTGGCTTTGTGGGACAGATGTTTGATGGTACACTTGGAAGAATCACAGGTAAGCCCTTCCTCCTGTCAGTCCTTTTGCTTCGAAGATAGCTGTTCATGGTGAGCGGTGTGAGCTGCACACTACTAAAGTGATGCCATAAGTGTGGTTTTGCATTGCAGGTCTTGACCCAGCAGGCCCCTTGTACAGAGGAAAGCCGCCTAGTGAGAGGCTAGATCCTACAGATGCACAGTTTGTTGACATCATTCATTCAGACACCGATGGTATGTGACATTTCTCCTCTTTACCATTATGAGGAAACCTAGAGACTGATGGGGAGCACAGGAAAGCAAGGGCTCTGGTAGGCAGCAGTGCTGGGGAAGATCCTTGCTCCTTCAGCCCAGGAGGACAGCAGCTTACTTCACTGGTGCTGTGAAGGGGTCTGTGGTGCTGTGTTGCCCACGCTGTCATCAGCACTCCCTTGGGAGCTGCTGTTTTATTTGCATTTCAAAACATGCTGCTGGTCTATAGCAATTAAAGCCTTGTGGCCCATGAAGTAGAAGGACTTAGGCACTAGTGCAGGAGTGCCCTGTTGCTACCGCAGCACACAGTCCTGCCAGAGCAGTTCCACACTAACACTGCACTGTGGGGTCAGGCTGCCCCCCAGCACGCAGCATCTCAAAAGCTAGTCACACAGCTCAATGCCTTGCACAGCGGATCAGTTATCCCCAGTCCTGTGGCTCCCTGCATGACGCTTCCAGTCTTCATCCCACCTCCTGTGGGCTAAACCTTCCTCTGGGGCAAATCTGAAATCTCCCTCAGCTCTCTCCCTGGTGCACAGCACACCTTCACATCCACAGCCAGGCCAGCAGTGTGATGCAAACCCTTCACCCTGCTCCCACTGGCATCCCACCCCTAGCACTTGGCTTTCCCACCTCACTGCTGCCTCTCGTCCTCTCCCAGACCCTCCAAGAACTCGGGACTTCAGCAGCACAGTAGTACCCAGTCTTTCACATTCTTTTTCCTCTCCCACAGGCAGTGACACAAAAAGCCAAATTTTGTACTGTCAGATGCACAAACTTATTTTAGGTATTTGATACCATTGCTAAAATGACACAGCTGGGTCACAACCATTTGGCCTGCTGTCTAAATAGATGAATGACATTAATATTCCTGCACAGGCAGGCATCCTAGAGCTAAATAACTATTATTTTTTCCAGTTAGTTTATTTTCCTTCTTCTGCATTTTATGATGTAATATTCCCTCCCTTCACCTCCGATATTTTCTTTTGTCAGGACTAGGCTACACAGAAGCACTAGGCCACATAGACTTCTACCCCAATGGCGGGACCGACCAGCCTGGCTGTCCACTGACAATATTTTCTGGTAATTAATTCTGCCTTGAATTGCACAAACATTGACAAAATGTTTCCAATCAGAAAAGAGGAGAAGGCCAGAGAAACATCATGACTGCTTAGAAAAGACATGAAAACCATGTTCTGGGAAAGCCATGAAAGCAATCTATTCCCAGCACTGATGTGGCACACTGACGTAACAGGAGTTTAGCTGATGTGCACCAGGCAGACATAGGAGTCAGGGGTGATCCTTCTGCTCTCTGTCACAAATGCAAATGGGATTAATTTTCCATGCAAAAAGTTATCAGGTAGATTTATGTCTTCATTTTGTGACTATGTTAAGAAAACCTGTGGGATTTTTTTTTTTTTAATTACTTAGAACACACACAAAACCCCAAGGACTAGCAACAGCAAGAACCTGTTCAGAAAACAGGTTCAAGATGAATGTGGGGTAGACAGTTATACTGAATCCAATGCGCCTTTCTTGGCAGTGACAGTCAGTGCAATCTGGCAGGTAAAGCCCTAGTCTTGAATGCAAGAAAGCTTTTTTCCTTTCCAGCCCGGCAGCCAAACTGGTTTTGTGAAAGCTGGGTGAAGAAGATACCTCACAGAAGGAAAGGCAGTAAGGTGAACTCAGACCTTATCAGACCTAAGGGAATCTATGTAGGAAACCAGCCTGAAACAAATACCCATAGGAAATGAGGCTTCACTCATTTTGCTGCCCATGCAACATGTCATTTTATTAGTTATGTCTTTCTAAAGAGTTTTTTAAACAAAAATGGCAAAGCCATGTGCCAAAAAATGCAATATCCAGCTGTCAGGCCCGAGCTCAGAGAGAAAACACCTGAAATGGAGAAGGATCCATAGCTGGATCCTCTGGAACTGCAGCAACAATACAAACAAATACGTTTTTAAAACCAAAAAGGACAAGAAGAAAAGTAAAGTAGACATAGGCAGAGCTGAGTGCACTCAAAGGGAGAGGCTAGTGCCCACTTACTGTTCTGCCACAGCCCAGTGCTCCCCAGTGCAATGTTGTCTTCAGGCTGGTCAGTGACTGTCCACTGGTGTGTCCTTTTTTTACTAGTGCATTAATACTGTTTTCAGGAAGCATGAGGATTGCTAACAATATGTTTCTTCCCTATGTATGATTGAGGATCGCAGTATTTTAAATGTGACCACCAGAGGTCTGTTTTCCTGTTCATGTCATCCCTGAAACAGAACTGCAATATTACTGCATACCCGTGTGACTCCTACAGAAATTACAGGAACGGCAAATGTACCAGCTGCGAAACTTTTTGGCCTATGCCATGCCCCATTGTAGGTAAGGATCCGGGGAATGTAAATACATCCTGAATACACGTCTGACAGAGCTGCCCATCGTTACTGTAACTTGGTGTGTGACAAATGTTTTGCTAAAGGACTAACACAACATGGTGCTTTGCAAAAGCATGTAAGTTATTTCCACTGAGGTTTTCAGGATCATCTCTCCTTGACTTCTGCAGAGCTACAAGCTTCTGCTGCAGGAAAAAGAGGCCTGAGAAATTTCCCTGCTCTTTGTACAGTCACATCACGTTGTGATCTAGAACAGAAATCCACATGTAAAGGATACAGAACTAGAAAAGCCAAAACAAGACTTGGGATCTTTACGCTAAAGTCACAGAAATGATGAATTAAAGTCCATTAGCTGTGCAGTTTAAGGGATAAGGGCATGTTCTTGCTAAAACAGAATCTCTTCTAAGAGATTTTCAGCACCACAAACCCCTCTTGATTCTAAAAGGAACGGCAGAGGGGTGAACAAAGGGTATTCTGCTTTTTTGTAACTGACCCACAGAGGTGTCCCAGCCTGGATGTGACAGCCCAGCTTCAGTCTGCCATTTCTGAAATTTTGATGCTTTGACACTTCCAGAAATGAGCTTGCAAAGCTGACCGTATGGTTTTCATTCTGCACTGCAGATGTGGAAAAAGATCAATCTTAAAATAAGTGCTGAACAGTAATCAGGCATATTTAGACACCCAGTTGGCTTTAGTTACACAAGTAAAATTAAGCCCTTGTATAAGTCTACAGAGTACAGGAGCATGTGTCACAGTAACACCTTGCAGCTGGAAAGCAATATATTATTTCTTAAATACTTGCTTTGTTATTTTCAGCAATTTAGTTGCTTATATACCTATGCAGTAACTCTGTTTCATTTTCAAACTGTCATCTATAGGCTATTATGCCCATAAGTGGAAAAGCTATTTAACACAACAGAGCCATCCAGTGACAAGGATGTTTTTTGATACAGCGGACAAAGAGCCATTTTGTAGTAAGTGACTAAGATTTCTGAGATGATTTTTCTTTGTGTATTGTCTCCTCCAGCAACAGCCAGGCAGAGATGGTTAGTTGTTATTGGCATCATAGCCAGCATTTTAGAAACAAAGCCAGCGGCTGCTGGATAGAATTGTGTCCATCTGCAGTCTTGCCATTACATTCCTTATCTGCAAACTTGCCTGGTGCTGTGAAAGTCAACTACTTGCTAGACATGTGCAAGAACAGGCTCACCTTGCTTACAGTGCTAAGAAATAAGTTGAGAACATGCAAATGAAGCATAAAAGGGTAGTTCCTAAACTGTGTTTTAAAACAAGACATCACTCTTGTGCAAGTAAGAGGTGTGCAGGAACGATGAGAGTCAAAGATGTCCTCTGAGCTGAACAGGTAAAAAAGCTACCCTGGACAAAAGTGAAAAGCACAGGGAAAGGGCCCAGGCAAGGGGGAATCAGTGAAAAAAGGTTTCACCCTCATGATCACCAACATACCAAGCCATGGGCAGGGATTATGGCCTGAGCTCACGTGCTGGTCAGCAAGTGAATTCAGTGAGTTACAGATCAAAGAGCAGGCAGTTCTGCTCCTTGACAGAGAAGACAAATGAAAGATGCTGAGAACAGAAATGAAGGGGATCAGAGGCAGACAGGAGAAACAAAAGGCAATCTAAAAATGAATGGTGAAAGGTGGTGTGTGGAAAGCTGTATAGAGAGACCATCTTGCATGCCACTTGTGTAACCCTTGCTCTAGTGCTTTCCCAGACTTCTCTTAATATTTCTATTAGAAATCTCTGCAAAGGAAGATGGCAAGCAGGAAGGAGAAATAAATTTTAGAGTTAAATTGAACAGGTTGTATCAGATGAGCAAATGGGAGAAAGATGCACTCCACCTGCAGCTCAGCTCCCAGACAGGCATACAGCTGGGCTGGAAAGCAGAGCAAATGTACAGAGTCTAACCGTGCTCACTTTCTCTCTTGCCTCAGTTTATCACTACTTTGTGGATATTATTACATGGAACAAAGACACCAGAAGAGGCACCTTCAGCATTGTATTAGCTGATGAAAGTGGGAAGAAGGCAGAATCTAAAGTTAATCCGTAAGTCCTACCGATCTGATGATCTGTAAATGTTAGCAAATCACTTGGTACAACTGCATCTGGGAGGAGGCAAGGTATCCTCCTCTAATTTCTCTGCTGATACTTGATAGCATACATGCCTTAGGGCTTTCCTGGTCCTATGCAATTTTCACAGACTCCCCCAGCGCACACCAGCTCACAGCCCAGCCCTTTGGTTTGGACCCTTCTCAGTCATTTTAAGGACTGAAGTGGACAATCTCAGCCAGCAGCATGGCTGTCCTAGGCTTCCACTAAAGCAAGAGGAAAAACATGTCTCCCCCTTTCCTTCCCCTTCCAGAGAGTGTTCCATTCTAGCTCCAGGTGCCCAAGTCAGCTGGAATGAACCTGGGCCTGAATATGTAACACCCAAATCAATTCATTCCACCTGGAGAAGCAAATTAATGACTGGTGTTTATGTGGACATGCAAATTCCTGATTGATCTAAACATACTTCAGCCAAACAAGTCCTGCTCAACTAGTTTTCCCAAGTGTCTCTAATTGTGTATTCTCTCAGCCATATCTGCTTGCAACAGAGCAATCTGCATAGCTCCCTGGGGCTGCACAACAGGACCACCCACTCTGCCAAGTGTGTGACAGCCCACCAGGCAGCATGCTTACACACACACACACACACCATGAACACCTTTGACAGGTTAAAACTTGTCCTATTTGTCAGGCCTCCTAAAACTTCTAAACAAGGCCAGTCATTTTGCATGTTGCACGGGGATACACTTCCAGTCACATCTGCACTCTTCACCTTCATCAGGGAAACCTTAAACTATGGCCATACTACTGGCATTTTTGCAAGAAGCTCTGCTGCTTTTGCACCAAGATCGATGCAGTTTTCAGGCAAATCTCAAAGTGGAACTGGCTATTCTGTCAAAAAGGACCGAGGTCAAACCCCAGTCCTGCAAGACTTCATGTCTTTAAGCCTGTGCTATTTTCCTATCCTGAGAAGCTGGATTACTCTTCATTAATTCTGGTCAACGCTGCATTGTTTCACAGATGCTTGTGCTGCATTTGCCAGAAAAGAACTACCAGAAATTTAATTAGGGGCATTAATACCCCCAAGGTAACAGTCTTCCATTTGTAGAGCTACCTCAGCCATACAGCATTATTACAAACAGATTTTTATATACAGCAACATATTCTGCAAACTCCATGGATGACTCAGTGTTCAGGTCTGCACAGACAGCCAAGTACAAACATCATTTAGGTCTAGTCCACTCAGGTTCAAAGCAGAATCACAGTAAGGATTCTGGTTTGGGACCAGAGCAAATGGCATCAGACCTCTGTGTCGCCACTCCCGCCCCAAATAACTGAGTGCAAAAGTGGCTGAGCAGGTTCACACCTGGAGACCTGAATCCATACTCTTTTCCTGTAAATCAGAAACTACTCATAAGTTCAGTCTTCCTCCCCCAGCACTGTGTCTAACATTATACTGAATGTATTAAAAATGGTGCTATTCCCTCGGTGACTCTCCGACACCTTGTCTGCTTTATCTTTAGAGAAGCTGCAGCCTTTCGACAGTACAACCAAATCACATTGCTAATTGGATTCGACCAGGATTTTGAAAATATAGAAAGAATTTCCTTGACATTTTCCACAGGATCTGTCATTGGCCCAAAATTCAAACTCAGGATTCTCCAAATGAGGTTCCGGTCACTTACAAATCCAGAAAGGTAAGCAGATGTTTACAAACCATTTCTATTGTTGCAGACTGGACAGAAGTAAATGAATCTCCCAGATTCCTGGCCTTGCTGAGTTTGTCCAGAAGAATTAGATCTATTTCACATTTAATAATTCTTGTACACATATCCTGGGAATAAATTCCTCATGCACACAAACCCCATAGCTGAATACCTACTTGAAAACAGAGGTTGTCTTATTGTACTGAAAACATGTAAGTAGTGGTCTGACATTTTAACCTTTGGTCAGGAAAATGACCTTTGAGAAGCTGCCCAGGCCTGAACTCTGGGCTGAAGGTAAATGCAACTCTCAGGGAAATAGATGTCCAGCCCCAAATACACGTTATATCCCAGTCAATTTCTATGTCCAGTCAAGCAGGGAGATTAATTTACTCCTAGAATTCCAGTAACTGGGAGCTGCTGGCTGCTATGCCCCAAAGCACTGACTACTGCCCACAACATCATGAGGTACCTACCAGGTCATTTGCTGATGAGATTTCTACAGCCGCTTCAGTCACCTTGTTACCCTCTGTCTGCTCTGCGGTCCTACCCTTAAGCTTCCCTGATTTCTAGGGCACCTTTGGAGGACAGGATCTCTGCCTGAGTTCAGCAAGTACAGAATCTCTTAGGCTGACCTTGTGTGCAAGAAGAGTATGTGGACATCAAGCCGTACCATGCTTTAAATTTGGGTTAAAACGAGGATTGCATATCATAGAGAACAGTGAAGCAAAAAAAGGACAGAGCTGCAGAACATGTTTCTTTGCATTTCATGAAGGTCTGCTACCCTTATCCTAGCCTTGGAATAAGGAAGAGATTGTGTATGTCTAATAAGCAATGTCCTTCTGCAGCTGCCCCTTGCTGACGCTCCCTTTCTCCTGTCCTACATCTCCACAGTCACTTCCAGCCCCAGATCCACATTCAGTCTTTGAAAAAGTAGATTAAAATGCCCAAATATTTCATCAGAGATTGACCACTCTCCCCTAGGAGGGGCTGCTACAGGCTGCAAGTACAGCTTGATGGTAATCAGTCACTGCCATGGGGAGGGATGTCCTGCCCTCTCTCCTTCCCTGTTCCAGAGCTAACGTTCATGTGTTCCCAGAAGAAAGCCTAAGTATTTCCTCTGTTTTTTAGCTGGGCTAGCTCTAAGCCAGCTCAATGCCCGGTCCCAGCACAGAGTGGCAACACAATCCCTAATGCTGACACCAGGGAATTGGCAGGAACACGAAGGTGAACTGGAAGGACCACCCCATTCAGTGGACACCCAAGTGTAGACTGGCTTAAAGGGAACCACAAACTCAGGAGCCAATACCTCAGTTTGCTTGCTGGCTTTTGTGTTCTTTTTTCCACAAGGAAAAGCAAAAGATAATGTAGAACAGAATGAAAATATACTCAAGGTATCCCTGACCTCAGTAAGGCTTAAAGTCAACCTCACTTTAGGTGGACTACAAGCCAGTTGTCTTGAGAACGTGACTTATTTTACATAAGCCTCCATCCAGCATGGTGGGAGACTTGACTGGGGGACGATACAAGAAAGGCCAATTTTTCACTTTTGGCTCATATTGACTGCTTTTATGCAGACCGCAGCTGTGCAGATACGACCTTGTCCTGATGGAGAACACCAGAAAAACCTTCAAGCCCGTCCCATGTTGGAGCAGGAGCTAAGACCCGAACGTGTCGCTCCTGAACGTTATGTCTGAAGGTGGCAGACATTTTCACAGCCGTAGGGGGACTCACCTGAAAGTTCCTCAGCACCTTCTGCGGAGACCAAGCGGCAGCGCGGTGGGGCCCTCTTGTCAGGCAAAGATTTATAAACGGGGCTGCAGAAGCGACCAAAAAAACGACGGCGTTGTGTGTTTTTGAAGCACGCTTCTGCGGCGCAGCTGGCTTCGCGCCCGGGGACGAGGGAGCTCCCGCCGCTCCCTCAGGCGCGGAGC